CTTGCACTGCCTACTACTGCCGATAGACTCAAAGTTCGTTAGGCAAAGTCATATCTAAGAGTAGCTGCAGACAAGAAGCACCTCTTGCATGAAGCCCTGGGTAGAGCTAAGGGTCACAGACTGAAAAGAGGAAGGTCTTGGATGGCGCAAGCTGAAGACATAATTAGACATGGGTGCAAGCTTGATAATTTTGAGCGATGAGAGGAGTAGGTCAAGGTGTCCTAACAAGTTTCAGACTTGTGTAGTGTTCTAATCACTTTAGGACGTGAGTGCAGGGACAGGCCAGCTGGTGTTGCAGAAACAGAAGTTCAACAAATGATTCATGACAATTCCTGCCTAAATGATGTAATTATCTATACAGATGGCTCTGTATTGAGGGGCAGACAAAGTGCATGGAGGTTCATAGCAAAGGCTAATGGACGTCGCCTAGAGCAGCAAAGCCTTGCATATGATATCACAATGTCTAGTCTGAGAATGGAGGTGGGGGCAGTCACTGCTGCCTTCCACTAGCTTGAGAATCAGCTGTACAAACATGCCGTGATTGTAACAGACGCACAGAGCATGTTGAGAAAGGTGAAAACAAGCATGCTTCATGCAGAGTGGCAAGCATTACTTCAGAGGTTCAGGGTAGTTAGCATCCTTTGGATATTTTCTCCAGGTGATGCCGGTGTGTTGGGAAACAAGCAAGCACATAGACTGGCTGGCTCTGCACAACTTAGTGGTGAATTGATGTATAACAAGCTAGACATTGTGAGGGCCCTTTGAGAGCGAGTGAACAGTGTGGAGGCACAGATAAATCATTACGGTCTAAGGAAAATGGCGCTGCGAGAAGTTACCAGGGCATCTGGCCGAATCTCAACACTCAGGGAAAAGGCTGAGAAGGATATAAATTCAGACGGTTACTGGTACCATCGGAATTGGAACTCTTTACTTGCTGCTGAAGATGGGGGACATCATTTATGGGAGTGTCCCGAGTGCTTTGATGTAGATTTTTCATTCGATATTCAACATTTGACTGACATAGAAGGTTACACTTATAAAATGCATAACCATACCAGTGAGATAGAGAGAGAAAGAGAGAGATAGAGAGATATAGAGAGATAGAGATAGAGAGATAGACAGAGAGAGAGAGAGGTAGAGAGAGAGAGAAAGAGAGAAGAGACTAAAAGCTGGTAAGCGAGAGGTAGACCCTAGTACCACTCTGGAGACATTACCAAGAGATAGGCAGACATCAGAACGAAAGAGTTTACACCATGGACACAAACAGAGTGTTTGAGTGATGGACTCAGGGAGTGGTATCAGGAATCAAAAACATAAATAAACCGTGCGAATGCCTCCTCAACATGTTTCTCTCTGAATACCCACAATTTCAGTACACCAATGACAGTCGTAAGCATGTGTGGAACAGACATCGAGAGAATGGACATGACGAAAAAAAAAACGGGTATGAAATTTGACAAATGCTTGTCATACAGGTATCACGTAGACAATATCAAACGTAGGGTCAGGAAATGTCTGTCAGCACTCAAGGTGCTACCAGCAATTGATTTTGAAAAATGCCTACCTTTACTTTTCTATCAGGAGCTAGTGTTCAGCGCCACAGAAAATGGCCCAGGCCTCCTTATTGTTAGCAGACTCCAGCTAGAAAGACTAGACCAAGAACAAAACACGGTTACGAAACTCGTACTTAGCGGCACAAAAGACACTTCCTGCCACGCCATGTGATAAGTTCTGGGCTTACCGACGATAGCTACCAGACGTTTGAGGTTTTAAACAACGGATCAACATCATGGCACACGGAGTAAACCATAAGTGCTCTGTTCTTCTTCTAACTCAAGTCTGAGTCCAAAGAAGCTCAGCGCAGTGCACAGGCTCTGTAGCACCGGCGAAGATCCTGAAATACTTTGGGTCGATTTTTAACTCCAAATTTTGCCACTGCAGTGCCGCTAGGCTCCTTTTTTAGATTTCCAATTGCCAAGGGATTTTTTACGTGCTTAACAATGTACACGGGCATCCGATCTCACTATTCAGAGACCAGAGGGAATTACTAGAAGTTCAAGTCCATGTGTCAAACTCCCAGGGATTGAAGCTGGCACTTCTAGCACTCAAGGCGGACACCATGCCTCAAGACCACGCAGCCCACCCCCCTCCCCCCAACCCCACCCCCCCCCCACATTATTACTACACAAAACATACAAAGAACTCTGATGCTCTCCTGTGCTGAAAATATTTAGTTTAATGTGAAATAATGCATGTGCAAAAGGCAACATCAATTTCTAACATTCACAGTAGTGATGACAACATGTGAAATAACAATGTCTGGTAAAACAAACAAACAAAAAAAAAATCAGCAGTTTTCTTGAAATACAGTTAATTAAAATATTAATTATTCTTCGATTGAAGACCTTTGCACCATGTTTGGACGGAATTTTTCTATACAATAAAAATGCATAACATTGCACATTTGACTAGTTGCTGGCAGTCCTGCTTGAAATTGCTGGTAAGTTAAAAATAACTAAGCTAACATGTGCATAAAACAAAAGTTCCATTCAAATTCGTGGAATGCATAACACTAGACAAGGACTAGAAGACAATCTGGGGGGGGTGGCTGTGTGGTCTCGAGGCATGGCATCCGCCTCGAGTGCTGGAGGTCCTGGGTTCAAACCTAGGTAAAGGCTGGTTTTTTTTCACGTGGACTTGAAGTCATTTCCCCTGGTCTCTGGGTAGTAAGATCAGATGCCCGTGTGTATGTAAAAAATCCCTTGGCAGTTAAAAATTGAAAAAAGTAGCCTAATGGCGCTGCCTGGGCAAAAATTTTGAGTTAAAAACCGATCCAAAATATTTTAGTATCCTCGCCAGTGCTACGCAGTTTGTGCACTGCACTGAGATTCTTTAGACTCAGGCATGAGTTAGAAGTAGAACAGAGCACTTATGGGTTACACCCGTGTGCCATGATGTTAATCCGTCGTCTAAAGATAAACCAAGAAGATAATCTATATGGTTATGTTCAGTCTTTCAGAAGCCAGACAAGGACTAGACAACCATCTATATGGTTAAGTTCAGTCTTTCAGAAGTCAGACAAGGACTAGAAGACAATCTATATGGTTATGTTCAGTCTTTTAGAAGTCAGACAAGATATAGAAGACAGTCTATTTGGTTTTGTTCAGTCTTTCAGAAGTCAGACAAGGACTAGAAGACAATCTATATGGTTATGTTCAGTCTTTCAGAAGTCAGAAAAGAACTAGAAGACCATCTATATGGTTAAGTTCAGTCTTTCAGAAGTCAGACAAGAACTAGAAGACCATCTACATGGTTAAGTTCAGTCTTTCAGAAGTCAGACAAGGACTAGAAGACCATCTATATGGTTATATTCAGTCTTTCTGAAGTCAAACAAGAACAAGAAGACAATCTATATAGTTAAGTTCAGTCTTTAAGAAGTCAGACAAGAACTAGAAGATAATCTATATGGTTATGTTCAGTCTTTAAGAAGTCAGACAAGAACTAGAAGATAATCTATATGGTTATGTTCAGTCTTTCAGAAGTCAGACAAGAACTAGAAGATAATCTATATGGTTATGTTCAGTCTTTAAGAAGTCAGACAAGAACTAGAAGATAATCTATATGGTTATGTTCACCAGAAGTCAGACAAGGACTAGAAGGCCATCTATATGGTTATGTTCAGTCTTTCAGAAGTCAGACAAGGACTAGAAGACCATCTATATGGTTATGTTCAGTCTTTCAGAAGTCAGACAAGAACTAGAAGACCATCTATTTGGTTATGTTTAATCTTTCAGAAGTCAGACAAGATAAGACAAGACCTGAACAACACTAAGAATTATTTTTGAAATATTTGAACACAGTCACATAATTCATTCACGAACAAAAATTGAGAAGGTTTAGCCACCTGACGAGAAAGCCCTGGCACCAACTGCCACAGAGAGCCATATCGGTCAGAGTCTGGTTATATGTCTGTCTTGCCCTCCCTCTGAGTGTACTGAGCTGGCCATATCCTCTGGTCACACCCAGGTGCATCATTCTCTCCAATCCATAATAATATAGTTTCTCTACTGACTTCGTTACTTGTTTCAAGTGAAGCTTGCCACTCTGCCCAAAGCATCCCTGTCTTCACCTTTCTCAGCATGCTTTCAGTCTGTTACAATATGTGTACACATCTGGTACTCTAGCTGCACTGGAAAGCTGGAAAGCTGCACTGACCACCTCCAGCCTCATGCTAGCTGTTGTGGTATCATGTGCTAGGCTGTCCTGCACTCAAGATTTTACACTGGCTTTTGCTATGAACCCATACATAGGAGAGATCTAAACAAGTTTTAGTGAACCAAGAAGTGAAGAAAAGACGCTGGTGTTGGATAATAAAATATGAGAACAATATAACTAGAATGTCTCTGCACTGGAACCCACAGCAAGGGGATAGAAATAAGGGCAGACCCCCCCCCCCCCCCCAAACACACACACGCACATACACATGAAAAAGAGTATAGAGAGTGAAGTTAAAAGGAGTGGGGAGGGTACATGGTGGTGAGCTGTATGCAATAGCAAAGAATAGAACAACCTGGCATGAGTTGATTGAGGACCTGTGCTCCATTGGGGGATAAAAGGCAGAAGAAGAAGAAGAAGAAGAAGAAGAAGAAGAAGAAGAAGAAGAAGAAGAAGAAGAAGAAGAAAAAGAAGAAGAAGAAAAAGAAGAAGGAGAAAATAAAGAAGAAAGTAGTAACAATGTTCATGACATGACTAGACCCTAAGCTCAGCTGGGCATCGAGCATCAAAGCTCTGCTAGCCTAGAAAGAAAGACACTCAATTAGGTATAGTGAACAAACCTGTGTTAAAAAACACCAAATTTTAACAACTATGTAAAACAACAAAGATAAAATCAACTACATTTCTGAATATCAAGTGAACAATTAAAATATACATTTTCACATCATCTTGATGTTCCTGAGGCTTCTTTACTTGTTCTATGGTGATGTTTGAGGCTCGACAGTCTATTGGCATCCTCCTTTGGTGCAAACAGAATTCAGCACCTCATGAGCTTCTCTGACTCCATTGGCAGCTGCATGAGTGATCAGCTGATGAGATTCTCTGGAAAGATGAACACCAAATATCAAACAAATTAACTCTTCTCGATCAGCCAATTACCAGCTCCTTTAACTCTTTGAGTCACAGGGGGTTGAGCATCACAGGCCCAGGGGGTAGTACTGAGAGTCATAAAATCGGCACATCATGCGTTCATTGGGCTTCTAGGTAGGAACCTATGAACATATGATGCGTTCCTGGGGACTCAAAGAGTTAAAGAACGTCACGCTCTTCATGGCATACCTGAAAATCTCTGTTTCTCTAACCCATTCTCCAACCCTATGTGCTTTCACAGCCAATGCATCTTCAATGTCCTGCATCCACTTTTGTGGTGGTCCGCCTCTGTCTTGTGTTCAGGAAACTGTGCCCTCTTTCACTGTTCTCTCCAGACCAACATAGCATTTGTAAACAAAACAAAAGTAAAGGTCCCTTTTCCTCGCCTTTAGGCCTATAGGGCACATAGGGCTAGACCTTTATTTTTATAGACCAAACGGCACAAAATGGCTGATGTGGTCAGCATCATGCCAGCCGCCTTTACTTCCCAGTACTGCACCCGGTACCCACTCTAGGCTGGGCCGACCTGTGAGTCAAGGTCATTTTTACAACAAAAAAGTCCGGGTCCGCCAGGTAGTAAACCCATGACCTTCCAATCAGCATGCAACCGTCTAGCCACTACACCACGGCGACTCCCATACCATAGCGCTTGAGATGCCAAAAATACCTCAAGCTTTTACAAGAATTTAATACAAAACTGGCTTTCCTGCCTGTCATCATCATCTGGTGACATGCTGGTAAGCATAGGCTATTGTTGTTTCACCATTTCACACAGTCACAGAATTACAGATCATGTCAATGTTTTTTTGTCTTGCCCCATCCACTTATTTCGTTGCCTTCTGCTTGCTATCTCTAACTACAAGGCAGAACTCTCAGCTCTATTGATGGCAGCACAGTATATGAACAATCTGCAAATCACCGCAGGCAGGATAGTTTTTCTCACTGACTCACTGTCAGCTATACAGGCCCTTGAGTCCAAACCTACCGACAGCACACTACAAAGTCTAACACAGGAACTTGCTATGTTGTCAAATAAGGCAGAAATTCACTTGCAGTGGATTCCGTCTCACTGCGGCATCAAAGGCAATGAAAGCGCAGATGCTTTAGCCAGGAAGGCAGTAACAAACTACAGACCTACCAGCCACTATCTTTTCCAGAAGTCAAAACTCTCATTAAGAGAAAATCAGAACAGATTTGAAAAACAACAGTATGGTTATGACTACGGAAAAGATTTTCTGAGGCACTTGAACAGAACAGACCAAGTCCACAGTTTTTCGCTTACGCACTGGGCACTGCAGACTCAATAAACACTCATATAAATTAGGTATGAGCCAAACAGCTCTCTGCCAGTGTCTTCGTGCTGAACAGACTCCAGAACATGTCCTGCAAGACTGTCCTCTCCTGGCGGAGCTGCGGAGCGACATATGGCAACACCCAGTAGAACTGACAACTAAGCTTTGGGGAAACCTAAGAGACCTTGAAAAGACATCCCAGTTTATGACCCACAGTGGATTATGCGCATGACCAGAGATCGCTGAAGAAGAAGAAGAAGAAGCTTGCTATCTTTCCATCAATCTTGCCAGCTGGCACCAAGTTCTCAGGTCAATTTCTTCTCATAAAATGTCCACACACACACAAACACAATGACTTTCTATGTTTTGCGTCAAGATGCCAAGGATGGTCATGATTTCACAACTTACTGCCTATCATCATCATCACATGCCCTGCCAGTAAGTATAGGCTGTCATGTTTCACCATCTCACATGATCACCAGATCATGTCAATGTTCTTCCCTTGCAGCACCCACTGTCATGCAGGTATTTATCTCTCTGCCTTCCTCTGGCTATGCTTCCATTAATCCTGCCAGTTGTAACTAAGATCTGGAGTCAATTCCTTTTCATAACATGACCCCCTCCCTCCCACACAAAAAAACTATCTACATCTGATTATTCTCATAAGTTGGCGTCTTTCACCTGTCCCAAGATGCCAACAACAGTCAAGGTTTCACAACTTGCTGCCAAAGATGGTTTCATTTTAGGGAGAGCTTAGACAAGGTGGGGGTAGGGGGGGGGGGGGGGGGGGGGGTACATCTTGAGCCTGAGGTTGTATGGCCCAGCTGGGATTTATTCCTGATAAATGTCACGTTTTAAAAACATATCTTTAGTGACCTGTTTACAAGATGTATAGTTAATGAGATAAGTAGGGGTGAGGTAGGGTGGGGGAGATCATTCAAACCAAATGTTTTTTTAAGGCCAAGTTGATGTCAAATGGTTCAGTATGCCTCAGTGAAAGAGGTCACAAGGTCACGGCATCAGTCACCCCCATATAATTAGGCACCCAGAAATGTGTTCCATTTAATGCTGCACTCTGTTAATGTTTACTGAATACTGCCTTTGAACAGCTAAAGAATTTTTTAAACCAATTTATATATATAAACTGACAAAACTAATTATGAGTGACCTGTGTAAAATTGTTGTCTTTGAATGATTCTATCAAGAATTCCCACTTGTTCCATATTTTTAGCATTACCAAGGTAAAAACGGTGAAGAGCCGAATCACTGTACCACTCTTCAGTCACTTAAAGAGCATCAGATCAGATAGTGACTTTGGCCTTCTGTACAACTAATCTTCTTTCTCTCCAGCGGAAAGTTCTGTTCGTCCACCTCTGGACTGCAGTTCTGCTCCAGAACCTGAGTGTTGTGTGTGCATCCATTTGACAGATCTGAATAATTTGTATGCAGCCTGTTGGGTCCTTGCCTCTCAGGCAAGTATGCACTCTGACTTCGAAGGAAGCTCCCAATTAGTTGACTCTTACGACATGCTTTTGGGTAGGCAGTGGGTCTATTCTTGTTTTCCCATAGGGTCCTGAAACCCACACAGGGATGTACAACTAATGATGAGGATGACTACGGTGATGCTAATAACATTGCTAAATTTGTTGCTCTCACTGCGGGAAAATTAACTGCAACATTGTGACAGCCGGAGAGAATTATCAAAGAAAAAGTGGAGAAAGGCAGCAGAAGAAGATTCTTGACTGTCTTCTGTCATGGAATGGAAGAGGGTCAACTCATAAATGGAAACAAGGCTGTTTGAGATTGCCAGGGGGGTAGAAGCATTCTCACTTCAGCTACTTGGCACGGCACTTCATGATGATGATCATTGAAAAAACAATGAACACAAATTTACAAGAATACAAACCCTGGTTTGAGATCCGTCTTGTAGCCTTTCAGATGTCCAATTGCCAGATTGTATGCGGCATGTGGGTGTCCTTGGTCCGCAGCTTTCCTGGCAGGGCAAAAAAAAAAAAAAAAACAATAAATGTCTCAAGAAAGATACAACTCACAATTTTCTTAGTTTCTTTAACATTTGTGTCTGTGTGTTGCAAATTATTTCATCATCAACTTCTACTTTTGCCATTAAACCTGTATGGAAAAACAGTTTGTGACCCAGTGCTTGATGGCAAGCACTGGATGTTGTCATTCTCTGTGGATGTACAAGGTCTTTCAAGGGTGTCAAGACCAGTCAAGACGAAGAACCCACTTCTTCCATAGGCGTCATCTACTGAATTCCAGACACGTGATTATTACAGACAGTGCTTTCCATGTAGTTTATCACACACTGAACAGGCGACTGTTTAGAATGGCCAAAGCTGCAACAATTAAAATCAACAAACTCCTTCTTTGTAAGCAGACACAATTTATAGTAAATTTGAAGTCACCCTGGTAAGTCAAATGACTACGGTGAGCTTCCAGGCGGCAAAAAACAGACCACGATGTGTCGAAAGAAACTATTTGCATTTCATGTGTGGTTAATTTTATGTTGATGTAACTCTGTAGTAACGCACGTAATGAGATAAGCAAAATATGCCTGGTAATAAATTGTTTGTGTCCGCATTATTTAAATTCATTATGGGAAAACAACATTTTGAATGTCTTTAATGTCAACAATCTATGCAACTTGTTTATTCCTTTTTAAAATGTATGGACAAAGAGGCAACACAACTTGTTTATTCCTTTTAAAATGTATGGACAAAGAGGCAACACAACTTGTTTATTCCTTTTAAAATGTATGGACAAAGAGGCAACACAACTTGTTTATTCTTTTTAAAATGTATGGACAAAGAGGCGAAACAAATTGTTTATTACTTTTAAAAAGTATGGACAAAGAGGTAACACAACTTGTTTATTCCTTTTAAAATGTATGGACAAAGAGGCAACACAACTTGTTTATTCCTTTTAAAATGTATAGACAAAGAGGCAACACAACTTGTTTATTCCTTTTATAATGTATGGACAAAGAGGCAACACAACTTGTTTATTCCTTTTAAAATGTATGGAAAAAGAGGCAATACATATAACTATTCTAATGAGTCCTTATGTACGTAGGCTATACAGCTAATGATGAGGACGACGACGATGATGACGATGATGATGATGATTAGGATGACGACGATGATGATGTTTCAAATAACAATGCTAAATTTTTTGGTCTCACTGTTGGAAAAGAAACTGCAAAACTGTGACAGCTGGAGAGATTTACCAAAGAAAAAGTGGAGGAAAGCAGCAGGAGAAGATTCTTGACCTCCTTTTGGAGTCATTGTACGAGTCTGTTCCTATTCTGCCTTCCACAATTTCTGTGGAGCAAAGACCCTTAAGCCCACTTAGAGAGAATGCCTTGTGACACCATACCATACAAAGCATACATGGAAAGAGAAGAAGGACGTAGAGCACGAGGTAGAGCAAGAACAAGATGGAAGGATAACATCAGAGAAACTCTACAACAGCACGATGTGCCTATGGTCGAGGCGGCCAGAAGAGCTAGAAACAGAATCTTATAACTCCCTCAACACCCACAGTGGTAAAAGAGGAAGTGAAGAAGAAGAAGAAGAAAGACCCTTAAGTATACCAAGCCCTTTTTAGATATATTCATATCTGACTGGTTGTGAGTTTGATTCTTTTAATGGTATGAGGCAACCATGTATGAGTGCCATGAAGATGAGGAGGACATAGGGAGAAGCTGCATGCAATAGCAAAGGTTAGAACGACCTGGTGCGAGTTGGTTGAGGGCCTATGCTCCATTGTGGATTAGAAGGGCAGAAGAGGAATAGGGAAGAATGGAAATCACAGAATGTGGTAATGGCGAATATGACTAGCAAGACCTGCAAACATTAGGACAAGTATTCCCCAAATTAGAGAAAGGGACTTAAGCAGGGCCGTTTTGCTTCCTTTAGAGATCCTGTTAAGACAAGGTTAAATAATCTTCAGCCATCCCATCTCATTTTTCTCTTCCTGTATCTTGTGGTGTATAGGTGAAGTATAAATTCTAGAAAAGTCATCTATCTGTTTCATAGGGTTCTTATACTCCCGACTATGCATCAGTACGCCAACATTGCAGAGAATCAAGTGGATATACTCTCTGGGATATGCAGGAGTGCGAGGAAATGAAAGAGGAGATTTTCTGGCTACAAAAGCGAAAGCTATGGGAATGCTCATACTGGACAAGGGAGATATTATGAAGTCCATATATGAATGACTTTTGGAAGAAAACACGAGATTAGATGAAATAACATAGGCAAGAATGTGGGAACGAGAAATTAAGTCTGAATCCAGCAACGAAGGACGGATGAGAGGAAGAGATCGGCGTGTGTGTAATCAGTGTGCTACGGGACCATTAGCATCTACATCTTACGTCATTTGCCAGAGAAACATAGCATCTGAGTATGCCCGGTCTGCTATAATGTTCATTCTTAAATCAGTAATCTTATACTGCTGTCTATTCATATTCACATAGTCGTCCATGCTTAATTTTTTTCACCTGGTCTGCACTTACGTACTGATCTGGTATTCTATTTTTTTGGCAGCAAAGTTAAATGACTAAAGTCTGCCCTTGTAATTTTAAATGAAATCTAATGCTTATATTCCCCCCCCCCCCCCCCCCCCCCACAACAGTTTTATTAGAAATATCAAAGCTGCACTGATGGTAGAGCTTTAATGGAACATTTAGACTTAAAAATAAACTCACCTCGTATGACAAGACAAACTGACATGATATAAAATAAAACAAAAATATCCTGATATTACAATTCACAAGATAACATGACAGGACAACACAAGATATCAGATATCAGAAGGCACAATGAGATGACATCTCCTGACAATGCAGAATAGCACAGCATCACATGACAAGGGAAAATGACAGGTCATCACATGACAAAACTCTGTGACATAACACATATGACTTGAGACAACATGACAATCACATGACATGACGTGAAATGACTTACCGGAACCACTCCATGGCCTTTTCTGGATGTGGTTCTACACCTTTCCCTGAAAAAAGAGATCGCAGCTTTCCTTGTAAGTTGTTATCCTCTAATCAAAGCTTTTTTTTTCTTAAGTTAAAGGTCCTGACACTCACTGCATAGTGCCAAAAAAATGGTTCCCGTACTCACCACAAAAGTATCTAAAAAGGGTGCAGAGGTCACCATTAAAAATTTGCCAATATTTACCACAAAGTCTTTATTAAGTCCTTCCTTCCTTCCTCTACAGCGTTCCGAGCCCTTGCGGTTCACTGCTGTAGATATCACCTGCCTCGATTTATCTCTCTGGTTGGCTTTCTCTTTCCAGTTAGTAACACCAAGTGTTTGTTAGGATGTCTGGATATGGTCTCTCCATCATCTTCTTGGTCTGCCTCATGGTCTAAGACCATTCATCTTCCTTGTGTATATAGTTTTCACCTCTCTGTCATCTGACATTCCCTCAATATGCCCCAGTCATTTTAGTCTATTAACTCTCATGATGCCGGCGATCAATGGTAATTTAAACCGAATATGAATTTTATTGTTGCTTCTCACTCTCCATTACCTGAGGTGTGTCCAAACATTCATCCTAAGACTATTTTTTTGTAATAAGGCTTCACTTCTTTTAGCTGTGCTCCAAGTTTGAGAGCCATATAAAATGACTTGTCTTACAAACGTTCTATATATTTTAAATCTATTGTGAGATAGAGACCTTGACTTAAAAAGATGTTGAAGGGCATTGTATACTTTACTTCTAGATTGCATTCTAGAATGTATTTCTTCTCTCTGCATGTTGATGCAGTTGTAGTTTATTATAGTAGTGCTAAAAAATGTATTCATATAAAATAAAAAAGGTGCATTTGCGTATCACCGGGAAAAACACCTTCCCTGTAATACTACAACTAGGTTAACTCTACCAGACTGCTGTTCCGGTAATTTTCTAATAGGCAACTAAACCGATGTACCTAATTTTGTGTACTTTGTGTACTATGTGATAAAACGACGTCACAAACTAAAAATAACCAACCAATTGTGATCAAACCTCATTGTTAGTCATTACGAATGGCTGCCCATGTGTGTTTAGATTTACTTTGTGTGTTGTGAAAAGATTCCAAAATTTCACAATAAAATGATGATGAAATAAGGACTTTGACAGGAAAGTGAAGTAGGTCTAGGTTTTTCACAGTCCAACAGGTGATCGATACTTTGGTTTATTTAGACTGAGGAGTCAGCTTTTAATGAAAAGGACATTCCCAGTTGAAGTGACAGTCAGTGAGAGCTCGAGTGATGAGGAGAATCTTGAACCTTATAGATCTAGAACTAGAACGATAGTAAGAGAAGGTGGTGTGTCCCTCAAACAGCAACATCTGGTGCTCACTTTGTGAAACAAGGCTGATCCTGCTGGGTGGATTAACACATAAAGGTGGAATTTTGACGCTAGATGAAAGGTAAACCTATTTTCTACATTGTCTCCAGGTTTCATCTAATTCTAGCCACTTAGTTTTCATGTAACTTATATTTGTGTATATCATGTTGCTTTTTTCGTGTTAATGCCCAGGAGTTCAGGTACAGGGGACAGTTAGGTTCAGGGCCTCAGGTCTGGTAAAGTTAATGTCAGATTCAAATAATTTTGTCCCTGTATGGATCGGTTCTGGGGCCCAATTTAGGAAAAACAAAAAAAAGATCAGACTTGCTGTCCTTCCTAACAAGCATGTCCTAAAAGGCACCTGATTAAGGGGTGTTTCCTACAAAGTTGAAGTGCATCTGTCTGAGAGGTGGGAACTAGCTGTCTACAAAGATATAGGCCGTTTATGTAAAACAGATGTGCAGGCAAAGGAATAAGACTAAAGTCCAGAAGAGGACAAACAACCAGAACTTTATACCAGAAGAAGTATAATATTGTAACAACCGCCAAAATATTTAACTCACCCTGCAAGTATCGCTGTCCGACCTGATGCTGGGCCACATCATATCCCAGGTGAGCATACGCATGTGTGATATGGAAGTGCACATTATCGAAGTAGAACCAGCAGTACAGGGCCCCAACTGCCACAAACACCACAGCTGCTATCTTTGTGAACAAACAAATATTTAAAGTCATGTTAACTCATTTAATCATAACCCATAAATTAAATGTTCTTACGTTCTTTAGTCCTCTTAACTACTTCAAGTCACAAACCAAGAAACTCTAGACAGAATAATAACCAAGAGAAGATGGAAACAGCTTGGCCAGGTAATGAGAATAAAGGTAAAGGTAAAGACAGGAGTTGTGAACCAGCGTCACTGCACACGGTTATAAACTATAAGTGCTCTGCCGCCAGTACGGACAGCTGATAAGAATTTCCGCCTGTGTCGCTGTTCGCACGTAACTCAATAGCTACAGTGACGTTCCTTCATTTACCCCAGAGTCTTAGCTCTGGTACCCAATTACTAGGCTGGGTGAACCCCGGGAGCCGCCCGATTTCAAACACCGGCCGTAGGCTGCAGCTAGTCGCATCTGGATTTGAAAGCGAGCCTCTTATAGACTGTGTTAACGCAGCTCCTAAATGAATCCTGATATACCTGCCAAAACAGCTCATTCATGGATGGATACCAAAGGGAAAAGGAAAAAAAAAGGGAGCGCCCAAAAACAACATGGAGAAAAATGTGTCAGTTTTTAAAAGAATGTCCAGATTTCCCCACATGGGTTTCAGGGTCCCTTGGGGGGGGGGGGGGGGTAAGGAGGGGAGAGGATAGATTAAGTGCCCCCTTTCAACAAGTATGCCATAGCAGGTGACTAGTTAGGAGTGTTTCCTTCTGTTGCTGTGCATCCACCTGAGTTGTGAGAAACTAACAGTCTTCACACAAACAAGCCAGACATGTAAAACAAATGTGCATGCTAAACTCAAGTTCTGGAAGTGTACCAAATTCCAGAAGTGGATGAACAATCAGAACTTTCATTCAGAATTTAAGAGGGTGAACACAAAGGAGAAGCAGAAGAAGAAGAAGAAGAAGAAGAAGAAGAAGAAGAAGAAGAAGAAGAAGAAGAAGAAGAAAAAGAAGAAGAATGTCACAATTTCACCAAAAAGGAAATCCAGCCAAATAGACCCTACAGGATAAACTAATGGACACCAGTTACAGTCTAGTCTGGATATGCAGAAGTTGCAGGGACCTAAGAAAATGCTCCCACTTATCAGGATTTCTGCTTATCCAGACAGCACACACAATAGAGACAATTGCCGGGACTAAGCTGGTCATGTCGACTTAACCAAAATTCGACTTATCCAAGTTCGACAAGTGGACTCGACTGTAATACGCCAACAATGCTCTTTTCGTAAATGGCTGCCAAAAAAGCAATGTTGAAATTATTTTGCAGTAGTCACTGCAGGGCTTTGTTTCTGAGGGTATGCACCATACACAGACCCTTTTACTCTATGAGTCTCAGGGGGTTTAGCATTACAGGCCAAAACAGTAGTCAAAAAAGACGTAAAATCGGCGCATCTTGCGTTCATCAGGCTTCCATGTAGGAATCTATGAACGTATTAAGTGTTCCTTGAGACTCAAAGAGTTAAAAACATTCTTACTATTTTGATTTACGTATGTATTTAAGAGAGGAAAAAACAAAACATTTTCTTTCAAAGCACATATTAAAAAAAAAACACACACACACACACACACATAATACTATTAATAGTATTAATACACCTATCTTTGTTTTTACTTACTGTCTGGACCATGGTATTTTTTTTTATTTCGTTAAAGCTTTATAAGATATGTAAAACTTGTATGAAGAAACACGAGATTAACATAAAACTAGGCCTCACAGCACTAGTAGTACTATACTAGCATCTATGATCTAACGCCATTTTGTTATTGTATTGAATTTGTAGTACAAGTAACAATTTAATCACTTTCACTTACTTCCAAAACCTTGACGTAAAGTGGGTCTTTCCTCGCTTTGTGGGCTAACCTAGCTTTTGCTTTTAACGGTAAGCTCTCTGCATCGTAACATAACCGATCCCTGACACTTTCAGCATCAATAAAGCGTTGTCGGGTCTCGTTTCTGGCCATCTTGTCAACATCACATCAGACGTGTAGACATAGGGAAGCTGTTGCTATGGCAGCGGACAGGAACAGTAATCAAACATAAAGATGCGCACTAAACAGCAATAGTTATGTCCCTTTAATTTGTTATCGTTTTCTTCTTTTCTCTATGTCTTTCTTTCTTCTGCTGACATTTAGAAAGATAGACAACACACAGAGACACAAAACGGTCAAATGTTAGATATACTCATCCTCGATATTTGCAACAGAAACATGTACAATGGCGTATCAAGGTTATGTAGTACCAAGTGCGGACAATTTTCTGTCCTCATCATTTTTTCCCCACACACATGTACACATGTCGCTGCGAACGCACTTTATAATGTCATGGTACCACTGGAGAGAATGAGGCACCTGGGTGTAACCAGAGGGTCTGACCGGCCCACTACAATCAAAGGAAAGGCAAGACGGACATATAACCAGATTGTGACCGGTACCATCAGTATTGGACGTCTGCGCTGGCTGCTGAAGATGAAGAAGAAGCGTGCATGGGAATGCCCAGAGGGGTGTAATGTCAATTCTTGACTCAATTCATTCCGTGGTACCAGGATCGATCCTAGTTACGGGCGATTTAGAAGCAGGCAGCCTTGCTTTGGTTTGACAGTGAATTAAAAAACCAACCATTCAGAGAGGAATGTAAACTACAGAACGTGAATCGCTTAGTGGAATCACAAACAGTCAAAAATGCTGTTGTTGATTCTGAAGCTGTTCTATAATAATTTAACGAACAGACAAAGAATGAAATGGTTCGGACAGGGAGAATGCAGTCAGACCAAACTGTATATTACACTTTTCACAGTAGAACATCTGGGAGGCGAGAGGAAGACGGAGAAAGAGATGGATAAATGGTGTAACCGAAACCTGCCAAAAATATTACCAAAATCATCATCCAAGCGACCCAAGAAGCGCCAAGACAAACACCGAAAATCACAACACTGGGCTAAAACCTGGTGTCCATGAGTCGACAAAACCAAAACACTGAGCTACAAACTGGTATCAGTGAGACGACAAAACCACGACGCTAAGCTACAAACTGGTATCAGTGAGACGACAAAACCACACTCAGGTCACTTTCCATCGATTGTTTCTTCCTTGCTTTTAGGCGCCTCTTTTTCTCTTTCCATCTGGTATCCACGTTAGAGCTGTTTCTCATAACGTGGCCAAGCCATTTCCGCTATCTCCATATTAAAATACATAACCCATAAAATTTTAAAAATTTTTTCAAATCAGAATGAAACTACAAATTCAGGCATGCAAAAAAAAAAAAAAAAACCAATATCAATACAAGAGTAAAAATACAATTAAAATTTGGACGAACATTAGTCTTTAAGAGCATACTTACCAGCCTGAAGTGTACATAACATACATACCAGACTGAAGTGTTCATAGCACACATACCAGTCTAAAGTGTATAAAACATACATACCAGCCTGAAGTGTATATAACATACATACCAGCCTGAAGTGTACATAACATACATACCAGCCTGTAGTGTTACATAACATACATACCAGTCTAAAGTGTATAAAACATACATACCAGCCTGAAGTGTATATAACATACATACCAGACTGTAGCGTTACATAACATACATACCAGTCTAAAGTGTATAAAACATACATACCAGCCTGAAGTGTTACATAACATACATACCAGCCTGAAGTGTTACATAACATGCAACCCAGCCTGAAGTGTTACATAACATGCATACCAGCCTGAAGTGTACATAACATACATACCAGCCTAAAGTGTACATAACATACATACCAGCCTGAAGTGTACATAACATACATACCAGCCTGAAGTGTTACATAACATGCAACACAGCCTGAAGTGTACATAACATACATACCAGCCTGAAGTGTACATAACATACATACCAGCCTAAAGTGTACATAACATACATACCAGCCTGAAGTATACATAACATACATACCAGCCTGAAGTGTACATAACATACATACCAGCCTGAAGTGTATATAACATACATACCAGCCTGAAGTGTATATAACATACATACCAGCCTGAAGTGTACATAACATACATACCAGCCTGAAGTGTACATAACATACATACCAGCCTAAAGTGTACATAACATACATACCAGCCTAAAGTGTACATAACATACATACCAGCCTGAAGTGTATATAACATACATACCAGCCTGAAGTGTACATAACATACATACCAGCCTGAAGTGTACATAACATACATACCAGCCTAAAGTGTACATACCATACATACCAGCCTGAAGTGTACATAACATACATACCAGCCTAAAGTGTACATAACATACATACCAGCCTGAAGTGTACATAACATACATACCAGCCTGAAGTTTACATAACATACATACCAGCCTGGAGTGTACATAACATACATACCAGCCTGAAGTGTACATAACATACATACCAGCCTGAAGTGTACATAACATACATACCAGCCTGAAGTGTACATAACATACATACCAGCCTGGAGTGTACATAACATACATACCAGCCTGGAGTGTACATAACATACATACCAGCCTGAAGTGTACATAACATACATACCAGCCTGAAGTGTACATAACGTACATACCAGCCTGAAGTGTACATAACATACATACCAGCCTAAAGTGTACATAACATACATACCAGCCTGAAGTGTATATAACATACATACCAGCCTGAAGTGTACATAACATACATACCAGCCTAAAGTGTACATAACATACATACCAGCCTGAAGTGTACATAACATACATATCAGCCTGAAGTGTACATTACATACAAACCAGCCTGAAGTGTACATTACATACATACCAGCCTGAAGTGTACATAACATACATACCAGCCTAAAGTGTACATAACATACATACCAGCCTGAAGTGTACATAACATACATATCAGCTTGAAGTGTACATAACATACATACCAGCCTAAAGTGTACATAACATACATGCCAGCCTGAAGTGTACATAACATACATACCAGCCTAAAGTGTACATAACATACATACCAGCCTAAAGTGTACATAACATACATACCAGCCTGAAGTGTATATAACATACATACCAGCCTGAAGTGTACATAACATACATACCAGCCTAAAGTGTACATAACATACATACCAGCCTGAAGTGTACATTACATACATACCAGCCTGAAGTGTACATTACATACCAGCCTCAAGTGTACATCCAAGTAGAAAGACTGGTGCATTATTGAGATCCATTGCCGTTTACCTTCGTGTGGAAATGGCACCTGATCGATTGGTTGTTGTATTAGTTGACTGAAGTAGAAAAAAAGAAGAAGAAGAAGAAAAAGAAGAAGAAGAAGAAGAAGAAGAAGAAGAAGAAGAAGAAGAAAGAAAGAAAAGAAGAAAGAAAGAAAGAAAGAAAGAAAGAAGAAAGAAAGAAAGAAAGAAAGAAAGAAAGAAAGAAAGAAAGAAAGAAAGAAAGAAAGAAAGAAAGAAAGAAAGAAAGAAAGAAAGAAAGAAAGAAAGAAAGAAAGAAAGAAAGAAAGAAAGAAAGAAAGAAAGAAAGAAAGAAAGAAAGAAAGAAAGAAAGAAGAAAGAAAGAAAGAAAGAAAGTAGAAGAAGACGAAGACAAAGAAGAAGAAGTTGGATAATAATAATAATAATAATAGGAAGAAGAGGATGAAGAAGAAGAGAATGAAAAAGAAGAAAAAGAAGAAGAAAAGAAGAAGAAGAAGAAGAAGAAGAAAAGAAGAAGAAGAAGTAGAAGAAGAAGAAGAAGAAGAAGAAGAAGAAGAAGAAGAAGAAGAAGAAGAAGAAGAAGAAGAAGAAGAAGAAGAAGAAGAAGAAGAAGAAGAAGAAGAAGAAGAAGAATAATAATAAGAAGAAGAAGAAGAAGAAGAAGAAGAAGAAGAAGAAGAAGAAGAAGAAGAAGAAGAAGAGGAGGAGGAGGAGGAAGAAGAAGAAGAAATAACAAAACGAAGGAAGAAGGGAGGAAAGAAAGAAGGCATGAAGTAAGATCAAAATACGGAGACCAGAAAACAATGGTAGAAAAAAGCCACAGGCGCTCCTAAAAGAGAAATTATGATTATAATTAAAATCAAAAGAGTAACTTCCAAGTGGGTTTCTCTTCAAAGCAAATATCACTGGAAATTGAAATTAAGTTCAATGAAAGTACATGTATAGCAGACTGCTGTATGAAGTGGAAACACGAACAAGTCATAAAGGAAAGGCGGCATATAATGAGGTTTTTAAATATGGGTCTCTACAAAACAAGTTAAAGTTCCTGTGTGAAACAAGACGGAAAAAACAAATCAACTTATTTTTAAAGTAAAGATCTGAGTGAACAACTACGTTTAACAACCTCCCCTTATTAGAGTCAACATAGAAAGCGGCGCAGGGAAGTCAACCCTCTCACTTTTAACCTTTAACCCTTTTTATCGTATCATCGCCATTATTGTTATTCTCGCATCTACGAGTTTCGGACAGCGGCGTCTGTGGCTTAGTCGTTGCGAGTCCGACTCGTAATTCCAACGTACCGCGATCGAAACCCACTGCTGGCTGCGTGGATTTTTATCATGGTATAGGGCGTCGCAGGTCGACCTAGCCTAAAATGGTTACCAGGATGTATGTCTTGGGAAAGTAAAGACGGCCGGCGTAATGCTGGCAACATTACCCACCTAGTGCCGAATGGCCTGTAAAAATTTGGTGCTCTTCCCATATGCCCAATGTGCCTAAAGGCGTGCAAAGGGATGTTTTTACCTTATGAGTATTGAACTTATAGAGAAAACGTCAAATTCGCGTGTTACACAAGGGAAGCATCGGGCGTATGATTCTATACTCTGTGCTGCAGACAAGGGACTGCGGGGCTGTGGGCAGCAACTAGTGTCACTGGATGACAAAAATATTAAATGGGAAAAGTGTGTGTGTGTGTGTGTGGGAGGGGGGGGGGGGGTTACAGAATGATAAAAACACGTGTTTTAGCAAAATAAAATAAGTTTTGGGGAAAA